GAGACAGGACGGCACAGGACTGAGCGTCACCAAAAACACCAGAAGCAGATTTATTTATCCATTAAACTATAAACAGCCTGCATGTATTATAGTAAAGAGATATCTGCTGAAGTTGAACTAGTGCCAGGCTGTACTTCCATGTAATACCAGTTTGTACCACAAGATGGAGCAAAAAGGTGAAAAAAGTTGAAAACTAAGTTGAACAAATGTGTTTTTAAAGGAAAAACAAGAGTTTGTTGATGCTTTCTGACTTCTGTTTTGATACAATTTAACTCTGAACAATTTTTAATTCTCACAGATTTATAAAAATTGTGACGTTTGAAGTTTTTTCCGACTTTGAAGTGGAGAAAAAATAAGAACTAGCAGAAGTGTCTGTTTGTCCTGTCGTCCAGTCTGCACAGGAAACCGTTTTTGTTCCATGCAAGTGAGACATCAGCTTCATCCTGTTTGCGCCTTTCACAATAAAAGCCTCTATCTCCACATAAGAAGTTTTAGGAAAGTGTTTACCACGGCGTCTGAGACAAACATTTGACTTCAAAAACATAATTATTGCCAGTGATGAATTTGGCCCGTACGGGGGTCGAACCCGTGACCTTGGCGTTATTAGCACCACGCTCTAACCTGCTGAGCTAACCGGCCACAGCAAGTTAGAGCTGACAAAATGACCGAATCAATCAGACTATAATGGCTGTAAATACTAGAAACCTATTAAACAAACTCCTGATCGCTGCACTGGCTGCATAGTGTACCTGTAAAAAAGGCATAATTATTCATTAAATAGCGTAATAAAATAATACAGCGTGGATGTTTAAAGATAAATACCAACTAATTATACAAAGTGTGGCTTTCTTTCAATATTTCCTTCAAAATTTCTGCATTTAAGGAACCAAAAACCAAAACAAGAGCATCTAAGTGCAAAATTTAGATTAAAGATTTCTTTCGTTAAATAAAACGTATATTTCTCTATAATACTGATGTCGACGTGAACATAATAAAAAGACATCAGTAGTTCAGCAATTTTAAACAATAGCAAAGAAAACGAGCGGCGACAGGAAGTACGCTGAGAACGAATCAGGTTTCCAGCAGAGCTCAGACACTAGCAGACTGGTTGTACTGGGCAGCTCCCAGTGTGGAGGAGCTCCAGGGTGGAACTGATATAGAACTTCAGTGTGAAGCCGGTCGGGCTTTGTTGGCAGGACACGGAGACGCTCGCGGGTCCAATAACCACAGGTGGGAACGAGGTCAACTCCCAGGTGGTTTCCTCAGGTATCAGAAGAGTCAGCAGAGCCAGAGGGCGTGTGTGTGTGTGTGTGTGTGTGTGTGTGTGTGTGTGTGT